GGCAAAGCGTTCAAACACGAATGAGTCTCATGACACAAGTAGTAGTGAAGATGAGCTCCAGATAGACGTTTATACAAATATGTTAGAAAGACTAAATGTAGAAGAAAACGATAGCAATGATAGTGATATCGTCCAACCAACAAGGCGACCAAGAGATCGCATAGATAGCGATAGCGATGAAAGTGATACGGAAGGACGGTTTATCACACTGTACAAAATTATAAAAAATAAAATATTGATTTTTTTTGCAAATATACATTCCTTGATGTCAACCAATTCATATAAGTCCAATATCATTATAATACGTTACTTGGTTCCAAAACTACACTAAATAATATGCGGGTCCGTAAATGCACGTTTCTGACGCGAAGGCGCGCTGAGTAGCTGGTAGCCAACGTCCAGAATGGTTCGGAGTGCAGAGGGTTAATCGTATATATTATGTAAGATGAAATTTGCTCTGTATATGTGGCACATGTACATAAAATCGCTAGCGTAAACGGTTGCAAGTTTTTGCATAGATCCTTATGACGCGTTTTCCGAAGGGGATCGAAAACCAAGGAGCCCAAGCAGTTCGAGACAAGCTTTGAAAGAGTGCACACTTATCATGAAGTTCACTACATGTCATATTCGAATGATGAACCAATGCTTAACACGTTCGCTACCATACCGCGGAGAAGAGATTCCACCACAGCCCAATACGTATTTTTCGAATTTCTACAAAACTGACTGGAGATTTTTATTTACACAGTATTAAAATCTAATAAATAAGCATATGAACCTACTTTTTCAATGTGTCACACATATGTGACGCTGGACCATATGAATAATTTTGTTCGTATAGCCCAGCGTTACATATGTGTGACAAGCTAATGGATCCATAAATTACATAAGATTTGTATTGAGAAAAATAAGTATGCCATGTTTAATTAATATAAACATTTATATAATTTATTTACATAATATATTATTATTATACAGTTATAACTTAATATAATTTATTTACATTTTATAGAACATTTTGAAACATATATCAATACATAAACCTATAGGTTGGCCCTCATTAGTTATGCATGTTTCGTATGCATAACCATGTCGCAGTGCGCTTCTTTTTCTTCGCACAAACACGACATGTCAATCTGTCCTCTAATTTTATTGGAAAATGTTGTACTCCGCTGTACTTGACTGTGGGGATATTAGTTGTAATATTAAGTAATTTTAGAGTAAGCTTAATCTCTGAACTCTAAACAAGAAATGTGCGTGAAATTGATTTTATTCAGTAGCTAATTTCTATTCCAAATTGCTATATCAAACAAGCGAAAAAAAACTTTCAGATATCATCGTATTGTTTTTCGTGGCGTGGAATGATATGCTGTCATCTGATCACATCGATTAATCCCAGACATATTTTTATTATAATCAATCACGGTACGGGGTTTGATTTTTTTATTCCTCTTGTAGACAATACTTCTACTAAATCGGCATTATGCTTCGTGGATATTGTTATTACGTCTCGTTTGACTTTCTATTTTTAAACTAAGATATTGTCTTTCCTTCGGAAGATAAATTCTCCAGATCTTATTTTTTTGTGAATTACGATTGCAAGATTACCTTTACGATCTTTTCTAAGGGTTCCTACGTGAGTTTTATTATTGTACAAAGAAGAGGCTAGTTCAACGCTATTGTAATAATTGTCCATGTAGACAGTGTAGCCTCTTCCGAAATAATTATTTAATAATTTATGAACAACAGATGAAGCATGTCCGTTTTCATTGTTCACTGTATGTTTTCCAGAATAAGGAGGGACATTTAGTAAAAATCCATCTGGTATGCACAGTTTGTGTAATTGTATTCCATGCTTTGCCTTTTTTGCGGAATGTATTGTCTAAATGATAAACGACCTCTCCATAATAAGATTGATTCGTCTATCGATAAATTCTCTCCAGGGTAATAGCAGTTTCTTATATTTTTTATCAAATGCTGTAGACAGCGAAGAATTTTCTTAAATCAATTTCGGGATATTATTTTTCTAAATAAAGGGTGATAATAAAGTGGGTGTGTACTTCAATATGCTTTTAGCATAGGCATTCGGATGTTCTCCATGATAATACATAATGCTAAGAATTTTTTCATTTCCTCGACTGTAGCTGGCTTCCATCCATTTTGCAAATTGGAAGATCTTCTGGAAGGATAGAATAACATAGCCCGATCATTTGTCCAATTAACAATTTTCCGTATGAGCAAATCATCAACAAATAAAGAAAACGTATCTAGTTCCGAGGCATTTTGTGGAATATTTACTTTAAGTCCTTCCATTCCAATAAATTATGTAAAACGGGATAAATATTTGATTCGGTCCAATCACTATTTTCAAAATTTTCACAATCTTCATCAAGTGAATCCTCACTTGTGTCAAAAATTAGTGACCTACTGAGATAATCATCATCTGATAAAGTACTGTATAAAATGAATCTACGGTATTACATTTCATGCTTTCATCGCTCGAATCATCATACAATATTCGTCTGTTCTTCATGTAGGATCTCGTGAGCATGAGAAATTTACTTACTAATCTATGAAAGTTACGTGTTACATTACAGTAATATTCATTTTAAGCTACTCACATGTCTGTTTCTATTTTAACAATTGCAAAGCCACACGCACTTTGTTTTAATAAATTTTCTAAACAATGTAAGGTAACCTCAGACCACGCGTGCTGGTAATAGCTACGACCCTTCCCAAACATATTCGTTACAATCCGGACAAAATTCATTTGTTTATTCAAAGAAAACATGCGAATTGACTCCGTCACACATATGTGATGTTGGGCTCTCAATGGAAATCGATGCGTCACACATAGGTGACGCTGGTAGCGAACGCGTTAAGGCATTGGAATATTCTAGACTAAATTGATTTTTTGTAACATTGATTTATATATATTAATGATGTTCATGTTAAACGAATCTGGAATATTTTAAATGTACGTGACGTTAATGCATAATGAGAAAATAATGTTCATTGCGAGTCCTGTAGTAAAAATATTGTTTACTTCTTATATATAAATCTGTATTGCATTAACTTAAAAGACCACTTGTAGATACACTCGGTACACTTCGTAATTTCATCTGAAAAATCATTTGTAAATTCAGTGTATTAATAAACTTATAAAAATCAACTAACATGTTCGGACAAGTTAATTCAGATTTTCGCATCCGGCCATGGAATTAATTGTTTGTGGCGTAGTTTTCTTTTAAAGTATTTGAAAACCTTGAAAAAAGGGAAAGCACTGCTCATTTATCGCTGGGATAATTAAATTATTTGCTTGAAATATACTGTTTTGAATGTGAAAATTTGATGGCAACGTGCAGACATCCTTGCGCAAAGAGTTAACTTACCACCCTGTGGTGTGTGTGTGTATTTTGCTTCAATATGCAAGAGTTTCTTCATTGCTGCGATATTATAAAACCAACTACATTTTTACAATAAAATACATTCTAGTGAAGCCCAAACAGTGCACAGAACCTAAAGTCACAATAAGAAGGAAAGCAAATGAAAACTGCACTAGATGCATACTAATCAACCCCTTGCACTCGAAAGTTACTGGCTAGAAATATCCAACATTTTCCGATGAGATACGAAGCGACATTCTTTGAAACAATCTAAAGAAAAAACATATATAAACTAAGGAACAAATCTATATTATTGCAATACTCTACATAGTGATGCATCATGCAAATCTTAATATTATATGTAAAACTTCACCTAATTTTGCTACATCAAATCGTGTAATGATTATCGACAGTTACCTCTCGAGTGCAAAGGGTCCATTCTTTTCGTACAAACCAATTAGCCCTTATCAAAGTGATTAATAACACGCACCTAATCAGCAGAATTTTCTTACGCGCGCGCGCGATCTTTCCTATTATGTTTGCCTTCGTGCGAGCGTGCCACTGTCGGTGGAAGGGATGGAAACGGGGACGCGGTCAATATTTTGTCAAGGGTTCAAGGGCTGGGGTCGAAGCTCCAATTTCCGACGAGCGCGCCGTGCTAAATGATGCAGTTCTACGGCGGTATCTCGCGAGACGCGAACAATGCTTGCGGAGGGTCGCGTCAGGGGCAGCGATCACCGGCGGAATTTTACGTTGCACCGGCACTACACGCTCGCGATCCAGAGTTCCGGGGAAAGAAAGAGTTCCGGTGGGACTATCGCCTCGGTATTTATACAGATCGGAGTGATCGGGACAGATGAGCGATATTCGGAGCGCCACGGTTCAACGACCAGGCTGCGCGGCATTTCCATCGCGATCTCTTATTTACCCTTCGCCGGTGAAAGAAACTGGCCCCGTTCATTTCTCTGAATTTTGCATTGGTTGGACCATTTCAATTTCCCGCAGACAAGTGTTCCAAAATGTACAGAGCTCGGGGTGTTAAGAAATTGGCGGGACGAAGCTTGGGGGATGATCATTTGTGACACGAGGACGCCTAGCGATTCTTGTATCAGCCGGAACAGTCACAATGGTGTTATCTTTTCACTGGTTTGTGTGAAATAAATACTTCTATCATTTGCAGAAGCTATTTCTTTCCCTTGTACTGGCAGACTACTTTTTAATTCCACGTAACAAATAAGCTATTCAGAATGACTATCTAGGAATCTAGGAACGATTCGTACTACTGACCAACTCAACGAGGATGAATAAAAGAATGGTCCCAACATCTTATTCAATCCAGACCAGTGCTTATCGAATCCAAATGAAATCTTACAACTACCCTACACAGTAACCAGTTAAATGACTAGCTACAGAATGAAGGTGAACCAGTTAAAAGATCAATTTTTCTTAGTGCAAGCAGAAACAGAAAGAAAGGCGACTACTATTATTTAATCGAAGAATATACGAATCGATGTAAACGTAAGCGAACGATGTTAAAATGAAATTTTGAATCAAACTTGAAAACAAATCACTCGACTGGTTCGCGGCACGCGTTAAAAGCGAACCTCGACTCACCTCCGTCTTCTTTGGATGAACTCCTTGACGTTCCGCTGGGATGATCCGCCAGCGCGGGGAACACGAGTAGCAATAGGAACAGAACGGTCCAGGCCAGCGTCCGACTCTGACTGATCCACCAGAACGGTGTTCCCGTCCGCGAGCTCCACCGCACGTCGCTGGAACCGCTGCGGCCGGCGGGGTCCGCGGCTAAAAAACGCGCGGCCCGATGAAACCTGTCGTGCTCGAACGTCCTGGACAGGGTCATGATGTCGCGGCGTCGGGACTCGCAGTCCACGGCGGAGTTGGTGGTCCTGTCGGGCAGCGGATCGCAGCGTAGACGTTCGCAGAGGTCGCAGCTGTTGTCGCAGCTGTTGTCGCTGCCGGGTGTCGTCGTTGACGACGAAAGGGAAGAGGGTAAACGGGACGGGTCCAGGGTGCCACGACCTGCCGGGCAATGGCAGTGGCAGGTAGCGTGGCCGGTGCCTGCCACAGCGGACAACGTGACGATCCTAGGAGCAATGAGGTCTGAGCCACGTGTACCAGCCTCTGTTGCGGCCGGATCATCCGAGGGCGACACACTGCCAAGCTTGCGCGAGCACTGCGCTGACTTCATTCTTGCGTTCCTCGGGGACGAGAGATTTCTCCCCCGCGTGCTCTCGTCAGGACAATAACCGTGTGGTGTCTCTGTACCGATCACCGACAACGACGATTCCTCTTGGAACCCCTAGGATTCCTCTGGTATTCTCCTTTCGGTAGAGCAATGTAGGACAACTCCTCTGAGCGTCTTTTAGTGTCTAGCCGGGTACTCCGACTCCTCACTCATCCTCGTGTATCTCGAAGATCGACGAGCTTTTACGGTCCTTCGCAGGAACCTGGGGAATATGCACTGGTTCACTTTGTCTCTCGTATGTTTCTTGTTCAAGCTTCTTCCGCTTTCACTGTGAGGGATGATTTAGAGGATTCCGAGCAACGATCACCGGTCCCTTTCTTCTGGCTCGGACATGTTCTCCCGGGTTCTGATCCGCAGTACAAGGTTCCTAGGGCCGAGACAGAGGGAGAGAGAGCAGGAGAGCTTGCAAGCTTGACGAATTCGGCTTGGCCAGGGAAAGACGACGAGCCGATTGGTCAGGCGACGCCATCGAGCGGCTCGCCGGCTAGCTCCGCGCGCCTACTGTCCTCGCGATCTCCGGCTGTACCAGCGACACGGCGATCGATCCACTCGCGCTGAATATTAAATCCTGCCGGTCGCGCGGCCCGCGGTGCTTTTTCCTCCTCTCCTCCGCCTTCTTCTCGTTAGGGTCATGCCACGTCGCGCGATCCACTGCCGCGATACACAGCCTCTCCTTCTCCTCCTCTATGGCCAGCCGCGCCGCCCTCGTCGCTTTGTCGCTCTGTCTCTTTTACCCCGACAGGGATATTCAATTCGCGGGTCCCACCTCCTCGTCCTCGTTTTATTAACTTTCTTCCCTCCCTCCGCCTGTTCGTCTGTCCTTCTGCCGTGCTCTTTCCGCCCTTCACCGCGATTCTTTATTTCCGCCTCGTCCGATGCTGGCGAGATTTCACCGCGGGAACTCGCTAGGGAATACGTTTCCGCGTCACTGTCCGCTCGAATGGATGATCCTGCAATCAGAAAATCGAGGAGGAGGTTAGACGATTCTTTAGGGTTGATTGTTTCGTGATCCTTTGGGGATTTGTGGAGTCTAGGTTTTTCAGGAGCTTGCGGTGGGTTTGTCTGAGTCGGATATGACTTAATTAGGCCGTTTTGCTTGTTTATTCGAGTCGATATCACGATCGATTGCGATGAATGTTGATGAAACACGTGGCTACTGGCAGATGTTTTATCTAATATGGATCTTCGGACTACGTAGAGGATCACGGAGGGTAAACGCACGGAACGACCGATGATGTAATAGATTTACGTAATTTTAGGATCCTAGTTTTAAATGTTTTCACATTGAAATTTAACGGAGAACAAGAAACAATGGAAATACTGCTTCGTTTTCAAGCCGTCTGATCGGAATGGCCTGTTAAACGGTTGTACAGCGAACAAAGAGACCAGAGAACATGGTTCTCCGTGTCGTGGATGATTCAGCGTCTCGCGGATGCGTCCGCGGAAATCGATGAATGCTCACAGCCTATAAATTCGGTTAAAATTGGAAGGGCTGCGAGAGGAGAGGAGCGACCAGGTCGAGCGGAGCGCCGCTTGTATGGCCATGCGCGGCGATGAGCAATATTCCCGAGCGATTCCGAGATGAGAGCGTCATCATCGTTCAGGAATGTTTGTTTGCGAGGTGCACCGCCGCGGAGAACCGGCAAACGCTGCTTTTCATTACGCGAGACCCTTCGTGACGTGGTTGCGCCCTGACCGCCCTTACGCTCCGCTTCCTCTCTCGACGCTTTGCAACCCCTACAGTTCTTTCAAAATTGAAAGTCGATCCTTTTGCGACAGAAATTCTGGTTTTCACGGTGGAAATGATTACGCTGTTATTATAACACCAACTGGTAGTTTGTTGGTTTGTTTATTAATTTCTGTTTATAATTCATTTATTAATATTCTTACATTAGTCTGTAAATTGGCAACCTTCTTTTAGACAATCTTTACACGATTGGATGTGGATTTCAGTGGTTTCTCAATGTATTTAATTGAGACATTTACTTTTTTAAATAAAAAAAATGCATGGTTGAGATATCTACTGTACAATCCTTGATACATTTATATTTTGTAAATGTAAGTCATTTGTAAGTTGAACGTTCCAAGAATATAATTAAGAATTTAACCAAGTAAAGTAATATGAGGAAATGTATTCACGTTTTGCGTCTAAATAATATGAGTGCACAGTGCAATAAAGCGCAGCAGAAACACACATCGCAAGCCACGTGCACCGTTCTGAGGTAAATAGAACACCCACCCCCTTCTAGTTGTCGCAAGCGTAAAGTCGGTGAATTATTCGAAATGGGCTGAGGGTTTTATGCATTCACTTGCAGGTTCCGTGTCTCCCCTGATAACCAGGCGCAATCTCCAGCAGAGAACCGAGGATAATTTCTGATTTTGTTTCTATTATAGGAGAAGAGTCTCGGAAATGGAATTCTGCAGCAATTTTCAACCCTCTGTCCTGGTCAGGGAAACAATTACAGCGAAAATGCAGATCATCCAGTTTCAATCTATCCTTTCCACTAACTAAGAAAGCAGCGTTCTATTAAAAAATCTATTACATCAGCAATTTATCGAAGCGTATATTCCACCACCATAATACATCAAATTACGTCCAGAACATGTGCAATGCAATTAAATATAAAAACCGGTGATCCATATTTTCCTTGCAATTAACCTTCCAGCTGAGATAAAGGGTTCAAACTTGGTAAAAAATATCCGTCCACCATAACCTACCCAGTGATTTATCATCAGTGTAACAGCGAACTCATAGAACCTGTCAATTTGACGAATATTAAATTCTATAAATATCATTTAGCAGAGGTTTAAACCGATTTTAACCGATGCAACTATGCGAATACTAACTATGTACCTAATTTTCTATCTTTCAAACTCCAACCTCTAAAATCTATACCAAATAACACCTATGTCCGTAGAAACACTATAATAAGGTATACCCTAAACGTAAATTTAGTGTTAAATTGCTTCATAAACACTTCCGAGTTTTGCATTCTACGCGAACCCACAGTCAACAACAAACTTCCATTTGCTTGAAGAATGTCTCTTCTAATGCAACCGTTTCTTCCTGCAAACTGCAACTCAGATTCCGATATCCTCGATCGGCAGACATCCTCTCTGGGACGTTCGCAACGTCTCCTACGCGTGCAGAAGACCCGTTGGCTCGTTCTACGCTTTATAACCGGAGACGATCTAATATTAGTTCCGCTGGCCCATGAAATCGTGATTCTGTTTTCGCGACGTCGTTCCTCTACCGCCCACCCTCCACGCTGGTCTCCTTGCCCTCGTACGGTCCTTTGACATTTCCGTTCCGACCCGGACCCGTAATTAATAATCAAACGGGTTCGCCTCCTTTGCAAAGCAGAAAGAACTGTTTGCCCGGTGAAACGAAAGAAAAACGCTTGGGCTGAAAACGAAACGGTACACGTCGTCTGCCACGGGGAAATTCCATCGGGATTCTACACGGTGTTCCTCCAATTCCTTGATTATCTTCTTTACCCTATCTTTATAGAGTATATCATAAAAATCCCTTTCAGATTACAGGCATCTAATTTTCCTCATTTTAATACTGTAATTGCCACGCAGATCAAACCGATCCATTCCCAAATTCTAGCTTCACAATCGAAGGAAATTACGAAAACTACTTCAGTGGATAACTAGTAATATCAAGCAAGCTGCACGATACTCGAAAACTGTATTAAACAATCTCCTTGTCCGCGATACAACGATCCCACAATTTCGATGACTAATAAACCCTTCTGCCCACAAAAACCTCAAGAAGATTCATTCAATCTCTTACAATCGAACGAACGAATACCGACGACAGTGTCAAACGGTCGTACACGACAACGCGATATCTATCGTTCGCTTCCCACCCTAACGTTATTAACTTTCCACGGCGATCAACAAGCACGGGCGAGTCGAACGCGTCGATGGTTAAACGCAACGTCTCAGGCCAGCACCCCTGACCAGTGTCAACTCGTGAAATCCGGCGCCAGGATCGATCTACGACGTATCGGCGCGTCTGTGTCGCGGAATTGAGCGTGGACAATTGGCGGATCGGTCGTCTGGCATCCGTGGTCGCCGGTCATCGTTGTCATTTGCGTCGGGAACGGCAGAAGAATAGAGCGGTCGTTGTCGCAGAACGAAGAGGACGGATCCGGCGGGCGGTGATTTAATCGAGCGGGATCGGTCGGTGCCAGCGCGCGTGCTGCCGCGTACGCGGCCCGGCTCTGACCCCTTCATACGCAATAAATCAATTATCGCTCGTTACGAAGAAAAATGCACCTTCAATCGAATCACGTTACTTAACCCGAGTGTCATGGTAACCAGAACGGTGTTTTGCAAGCACGCGCCCCGTGGACCCCGGCTTTCGTGGCTGCTCAACAACGGGAACGAGCTCCCGCCGCCTGTTGATCGGACTCCCGACTCGACGACCTGCTCTGCCACACGGCCGATCTGATCCCAATCCCGTGCCGCGAGTCATTCTTTTTAACGAGCTCGTACGCTTAAGTCTCTCCCGTCTGTGCGACTGTATACACAAGTTTGCGTTTCTTCGCCATAGACGCGAACAGTAAGCTAAAAGTGCATAGGGGGCAAGAGAACATGTCCACTCGCGGCGCTCGGTTCGGTAGTCATGGCAACAGTCACGCCTCAGTTTCGGCAGGTCCTTGTTATTGGCCGAGTCGCGCAACCGAGAATGCAAGCGAAGCGGAACGCGATGAAGCGAAATGTATAAACATTAGCGTCGGATTTCGTAAAGAAACCAGAACTGCTGGGAAATCACTTGATCGATATACTCAGGAATTTGGTTGATCGTTTAGGTTTTATTTTTTTCACCCAGTTTCCTGTCGGTTTTATCTCTTAATTTCTGATATTTTCGATTATTGGTTTGCTATTCGTTGGTAGAGTTACTTGTATCCAATCAAAACTATAAAACTATAAAGTAGAAATACACCTTTTGCTTCTGTGCTGTCTTGATAGGCATCAAGTCATTTCCCAACTTACGTAATGAGATTCCCTCGTATTTTGATTGAAGTTACAGAACTTTTGAGGTACGAACATGCATTTTTCGCAATGGCTGAGATCGTATTGGCAGTTATTAGTTGAACGCGCGCGGTAGATGAAGTTGTAGGAGCTAAGAACGAAATTCTTTTCTTATATATTCGTTTTAATGAATAAAAATGCAGTGACATCAGATTGGAATTCATAATGTGATACATGCAATATAAACAATTGAATATTTAATCCAATCGAGAATCGGTCCAAGATTTTCTTCAAACTGCAATAGTTTCCACCATGATTATTGAATCGGTAGTTATGGCAACAGTGAAGTCTCGGTTAGCAGGTGTTCTTGTTAGTGGTCGAGTCGCGTAACGAAGAACGCGATGGAAATGAAAAGTAACGGAATTAAATTCACAAGAGAGTGATGGAGAACGGTGAAAACAACCCCTAAAATGGAGAATGAGAGTATCGTGGAAACTATTGCTGTTTGAAGAAAATTTGAAATAGAATTGTATATTTTTAATATTGAAAAGAACAGATTTTCACTGATACGTTTCTGATCAAATGTATCTATTTCAATGGGAGATTTCTTTGCACGTAGATTTCTCGAGTTATGTAAACGCTAATTATCGCAGATCCGTATGTGGTTCGTTGTCCACGACAATTCGATGACGAGTAAAATTCAACTGCACTGTTCCCGTGTTACGTGCATTTCCGCGAAGCATCGAGCATCCCCCGTGCAAGGAACCTTTAAACCAGAGGCACAGCGCAGCGAGGACACAAGAACAGTTCAGAAGTGGCGGAAAGTAGTTCGACCGAGTGTCCGTAAAAACTGAACACGCAGACAGAGACTCAGTTTCCCGGCAAACTGTACGATCCGTTGTGAAACAACTCGGGTCCGTAGAAGTCCATCCGCATGCATAAGAGAATTTCGTGATACTGGCGA